CTCGCTCAGCCAGTGAGCGGGAACCGGTCTGTATGTGGGATCCGAACCCTCGGAGGGAGCAGTGCGCCACCGGGCAGGCCCGAGGGCTCTGTCTTATCAGGTCTTGATCACCTGCACCTTGACAAAGGTGACGGTGGCCTCTGGTCTCTTTCCCGCCTTCAGGAGCTCGGACACGGGGGCCACTCCGTCCTCTGTCAAATGCTTTTTTCTCCAGGCTCCCACGGTGCCCCCTCCCGCTCCCCATCGGCTCTTCCTCACTGCTCCCTCATTCCCCCAGTGCCCTGTCCCACCTCTGCTCGTGCAGCCACTGCATCCAGGCGGCCTCAACTCTTCCACAACCTTCACCCACACACCAGCTCCCACTCCTGGCTGGGCCAGTCCCCCTGAGCTATGAACTCGTAAATCCAAGGAGTTCCCACAGACACCTCCCTTTGGACGGCCAAGAGGGTGGCTTCAATTTGACATGGCTAAAGGCCACCACTGACCGTCCTCTCCAATCCCCTGCCCATCAGGCTCTCCCTATCTCAGCAAGAGGCACCACTTCCACTTAAAGCTTTGAGTTGCTCAGACCAAAAACAGAGGAGACCTTCTAGATTGCTCTCTCTCTCTCTCCCCCCACATGTGATAGCTCTGTAAGTCTGATAATGCTCCCTTCAAGTGGGAATCTGCCACTGTGTCCCCATCCCTACACAAGTGTGGAGGTCGTCACCTCTCGCCCGGGTTCCTGCCACCCCCAAGACTGTCCTGAGAGCAGCCGGGTCCTCCTGCAGCGCCTGTCAGACCATGCCACTCCTGAGTGTCTGGGGACTCCCCATCATACTTAGAACAAATCCCAAACCCTCGTAATGGCCTCCAGGTGTCCCCAGGATCTTGCCCCAGCCCCCACCTCCAATTCGCTGTCACCCGCCACACTGGGGTCTTCCCATCTCAGCTCCTTTGCCCTACCCTCCTCTCCCCTCCTCCTCCTCATTCAGGTCTCATCTGGACGCCCACCTCCTTGGGGGACCTCCCAGACACACTCGCCCCCCCCACCCTGTGTGCATCTTCCTCTGTCTGTCTGTCTGTGTGTCTGCTGTACTATTTGTCCTGCTGTCACCTCAGTGTGAGGAACACAGCAGGTGCTCAGTGAACACTTTCAAACAGATGAACTCATGAATGAATGAATGAACAAATGAATGAGGGATCTGCAGGGGACAGGCTAGGAGAGTCAGGCATTTTGACCTCTCTCGTCAAGCTCAACCCACTCTGTGATGAATATGAAGGAAGGCTCCCTTTTCTCCAAGCCCAGGGGCTCCCTGGGGCTCTGGGCAGCTCTGGGCTGGGGAGGTGAGTGGACAGGGCCGATGCGCTCCCTGGCCTGCCTTCTCCAGCAAAGCCGGGGATGGAGGCAGGATGAGGGGTGGGTGTAGCCTCTGAAGGAGAGACCCCCAGACACTCCGGACCCTGAGGTGAGGATGGCTCAGTCAGAGCTGAGGAGAGCCTCCGATTGCAGGGGGCTGAATGGCAAACCCCCAAAAGATATGTCTATGTCCTGACCCCCGGAACCCGTGACTGTGGCCTTATTGGAAAAAAGATCTTTGCAGATGTGATTAAGGATCTCGAGACGAGATCACCCTGAATTTT